TATGGGCATTCTTGTCATATCTCTCCTAATATTTACATAGAGTCCACCGAGCGCCAGGCACTGCATTCAACGCTGGAGACAGAACTGAGCCTCCGCCTTTGCTCACAGGCTGGCAGAGGAGCAGACAAGAAGCGCGACACAGGTGAGGGTCCTACCACAGGGAGGGCAGAGGACGGAAAAGGGCTGGGCCAAGACTCCCTGGGGAAACAGGCATTTGGGGGGACAAACAGAGGGTGGGGGAAGAACTGGAGAGAGAAAAACCCTTTCTGGGAAACAGCAACATGGCCAGAATGACTGGGAGGATGGGGAGAAGGAAGCATCCTGAGATGAAACTGGAAAAGCAAGGCAGCAGGACCTTAGAGACCGAAGCTTCCCCAGGAGATGGCTGGCAGCTGAGCTGTTTTGAAATCAGAATCCTCAGCAGGAAAATGAATGAGCAAGCTAAGGGTTAAAATGCCTAAAGATTTAAATTTGAATAATAGCGTCCCCGGAGGGTAAACATTCTGAGGGAAGTAAATTATTTCATCAAAAAATTAAAGAAAAGGAAACTGGAATGTCAGATTCATCCTCAAAAAATACATATTTATTAGGTTTCTACGGCCTCGTAGAAAGAATAAGCATTCATATGCTACATCGGCTTAGGGGCTTATGGGTGACTGAAACAATAAAACACTTTCACTTAATGTACTAAGTACAATCCCGAAAGCCATGCATCAGAAATCATTTCACGACAAGTATACAGCATCAAATGGAAACACCCAACACTAGTTTTGTCCGTGTATCCCATTTCCAGCAAGTATTAATGCATCTTTGTGGGTTTGTGGGGCGGGGAGGGAGAAGGATGGGGAACTACTGAAAAGAAAAGCAGGTTTTTTTGTGATTCTTTTAGATTATTTTATTTATTTATTTATTTATTTATTTGAGAGAGAGAGAGCGAGAGAGAGAGAGAGAGAGAGAGAGAGAGAGAGAGAGAGAGGAAAGGAGGGGGGGAGAGAAACATTGATGTGAGAGTACAACATTCACTGGCTGCTCCCCTTATGGCCTCTCCTGGGGATTGAGCCCAAAACCTGATCATATGCCCTGACTTGGAATTGAATGAACAACCTTTTGGTGCATGAGATAATGTTCCAACCAACCTAGCCCCATGGGCCAGGGCGAAAAGCAATTTTCACTGCCCACCTCCACTGCCATTTTCCTTATTTTAGGCATTATTGGCAGTTTTATCTTCCACTCTGAAACAAGGATTTGATGTGACCTCAGGGTACAACTTTCAAATTACACTCACTCTTCCATGGGCCTGTCTTTTGGGCACTCTACAGATAACCCCAAGAGTTCATCTGTGGTTAGCACAGCTTTGAATCAGGGGTAGCCAACGGAAAGTGCAGTGCCGAGAAGCTGACTCGTGTTTTAAAGATGGACAGAAAATCCTGACATCGGGTATGGGGCACCAGACTTACGGGGGGCAGGGTGGGGTGGGTCAGGAATTACTTTGTAAATTACATAAACGTCTAACCACTATGCAGTGCACAGGAAACAAATAAAACATTGAATGTCAACTGCAATTGAAAATGAAAAAAAAAAAATACTGAGATCAATTTTAAAAATCAGTGGCCTATTTGAGTTCAGGGGTGGCCAACCCCATATACGGGAAGCATGGATGCTCTGTGAGAGGGATCAACCTCATGTTCCGCCCAACTTGGACCTCAGCCCACTCCTATCTGCTAGCACTTGGTGCCTGCACTTCTTGGCACTCAGAACCTGCATTCTGATTAGAATAACTAGACATTCTTTTCTGAAAAGCTGCCAACTCAATCCCCGTCCTGTGAAAGGTCACCCTCCCTTTAACTGGCTTGATCTTTCTGGAATTCCTCGGCTTGTGTGGCCAAGGGGGGACTCGTTCTTTATCCTTCCTCTTCCCTCGAACATCACAGTTCACAGCTCATTCTGCGAGGAGGAATATAAACCACCACCCTGCTTAGGTGAGCTGATGGAAATGGCTACCCCGAGGCAGGCCTCCACAATACAATGTCCTCAGCAAAGGCGAAGGGAAGCTGACTTTTAATCCTTCACTCCTAAAAGTGCAGCGTTTCAGAGAGAGATACAAGGTAAGTACAACGTGTGGTATAATCTTAGCAGGGAAAAGGCTCTAGAGTCAAAAGTGTTTCCCATGCCCGGCTGGTGTGGCTCAGTGGTTGAATGCTGACCCACGCATCACCCAAGAGGTCACTGGGTTCAATTCCCAGCCAGGGCACGTGCCCGGGTTGTGGGACTGATCCCCGGTAGGAGGTGTGCAGGATGTAGCCAATCGATGATTCTCTCTCATCATTGATGTTCTAGCCTTCTCTCCCTCTCCTGTTCTCTCTCTGAAATCAATAAAATACAGTGTAGGTTTTTTTAATTTTTAATTTTTACACACTTCTCTGTATCTATGGCAAAAATACCTGTATCTATGACATCTAATGTTTTATTTGTTTCCTGTGCACTGCATCCAAGTATCCCAGGATATTATCAACAACAATATTTGTACTGTTAAGAACTCAGAAACAATTAAAATGCCCATCAAGAGAGATACGGGTGAGTAAATCTGGATATATCTGCACATGCAATCACTACACAGAGTAAGGTAGAGCTGATGTATTGGCACGGATGGGTACCCACCATATACTGCTGAGTGAAAAAAACTAAGTCGCCGAATGATTAAAAATGTGACCGCTTTTTAAAATACTAAGTATGTGTGATTGAGTGAATAAATTGTTATCTTAAACAGAAGTTATCACTGAGGGTGGAAAGGGAGAAAATATAATTTCATTTTTGTAAAGTGTTCACAATGTTTGTGACTATCACTATCATAACTCGTGAGTTGTGCTGGGACTATGAATCTGATAAGTCACCAAAAGTTCATCAGATCCTCTGTGAGGGGGGAAAACTCAGGTTCCCCACGGTGGCCCAATCATGCAGCCATTCTTTGATTTTACCAATAAAATCTGCTCTGAAGAGCAGGTCTGAAAGGGACCAACTTGACCCAGAGTTCTTTATTTGAAAAACATCATAGTTTTTAAAATAACATACCCTACTTTCTACCAGTTATTATTTAGAAAATTTAGTACACATTTTTTCTTACTGGTTTCCAGAGGTCCCCACCCAAACACATTACCAAAAATACCTGATGTGAACCACCTTAGTCCATAGTCCCAAGTTTAATCCTTAAGCTTCCTAAAATCACGTTCAAGGGTAGGCCCAAACACTATCTCAGACGTTCAGGTCTGCCACTTGAGGAATGGAAAGAGTTACACCTTCATCTTTTATAAAGATACCAGTGCAACACATCTTTCTCTATTCTCTCTCTCTCTCTCTCTCTCTCTCTCTCTCTCTCTCTCTCTCTCTCTCCTCTCTCTTTTTTAAAGGAATATCCCTTGGTTTCCTAATGTAATTCTCAAAATTACTTATTTGACAGGGATTTAAGCACATGGTGTAGAAAGGACAAGTACTAATTACATCACAAAATATCCACACTTAAAATCTTAGAAAATGCACAGGGCAAGGCAAACGTAGCTTTACAGTTGTTTGTATGGAAAATACAATAATTAATGCTACAAGAATAAACTGTTTCCTGTACTTACAACGGTAAGAAAAAAAACACAAGTTCACAAATTTGCAGAAGGTTTTAAATGTAATTGACGGTAAAGATACAAAAAGTGCAGTCTTCTCTCTCTCTCTCTTGCACTTAATATTAAACAGTGTTGTTCGCATAATATTTTCCAGGCTAGAATGTACTTTCCACTTGCCCTAATAATAAACCTATGCCCAGATGGGAAATGTAACCAGCACTGAATAAACATAATATAGACAGGGAACAGGAGAGCCAGAGGTAGGCTAATAAAACTTGGGACGCCTCCACAAACTACAAAATGCTTTAAAAAGAAAGGAAAGAAGAAAGAAAGAAAGAAAGAAAGAAAGAAAGAAAGAAAGAAAGAAAGAAAGAAAGAAAGAAAGAAAGAAAGAAAGAAAGAAAGAAAGAAAGAAAGAAAGAAAGAAAGAAAGGGAGGGAGGGAGGGAGGGAGGGAGGGAGGGAGGGAGGGAGGGAGGGAGGGAGGGAGGGAGGGAGGGAGGGAGGGAGGGAGGGAGGGAGGGAGGGAGGGAGGGAGGGAGGGAGGGAGGAAGGAAGGAAGGAAGGAAGGAAGGAAGGAAGGAAGGAAGGAAGAAAGAAAGAAAGGAAAGAAAGAAAGAAAGAAAGAAAGAAAGAAAGAAAGAAAGAAAGAAAGAAAGAAAGAAAGAAAGAAAGAAAGAAAGAAAGAAAGAAAGAAAGAAAGAAAGAAAGAAAGAAAGAAAGAAAGAAAGAAAAAACAAGTAGAATGGAGAGATTAAAAAGTTATATATTTTACATGTGTGAAATCAGAGATTTCTTTCTGGATGTAATGGACAGCATCGTATGTTGTCACAGGTGTAAGCTGGAGGAGAAGTGTGCCCTGTGTCACAGCACACGGTCATGATCCAAGCATCTACCCAACTTTACATTAACCTGCAAACTTTGCTCTAGATGCCAATCACCAATCAAATAACAAACAGCTCCCTAGCGTAATGCGTGCCCTACAATGAGGAGTCCAACTCAATGCAAGGGTGAGAGATAAACAGAAACGGATGAAGAACAGGAATAGCCACACGATTACAAAGCGATTTCCATTTTTTTTTTCCTCTCTGAACACCCACACAAAGACAGCAGTTTCTGACAAGAATATTCTTGGCGAAAGATAAAATGACAGGAAGGTTTTGGTGGGATTTTTTTTTTTTCAATGAGAAAAAGGCAGCTCTATATTCTATATGTAGACCACGAGGCAATACAGCATGATGTTTATTTAAGGCCCACATTCACAGCCCTCATAGTTTGCATATATCTAAATAACTTTTTTGGATGACAAATAAAAGGAGTCTGAAAATACAGCTCCTGTTTGGATGCCAATTTCACATTGTCCTTGAAAAGAAAAGAAAACATGGCAGCTTACCTTGGCACTGGAAACCTTGTTTCCCAAACCCCCTGAAAAACAGAAACAAAAACAAAATAACTTAACACATTTTGTGTTGGATGCCACATTTCAAGCCACTTATATGACAAAGTATTCTACAGAGTTAAAAGGAAATACATAAAACCCAATGATTTGCTTGGGGAAACATGCCTACATAGCTCAAAGTACTATGTAAATTCAATTTTGAAAAAAAATCTCTCTGCTGTCTGAAGGCTCATTAAACTATTTCGATGTATCCAGATTCTTTCCAAAATGTTACCCTGTTATCAACACTTAAATTTCAAGACAATCACATAATTGTATATTTAAAGCAGTTGGTCACAATATTCAAATAACATAAAAGGACCTTATGGTGCCGAAATCGGTTTGGCTCCGTGGATAGAGCATCAGCCTGTGGACTGAAGGTCCCAGATTCAATTCCAGTCAAGGGCATGTACCTTGGTTATGAGCACATCCCCGGTAGGGATGTGCAAGAGGCAGCTGATCGATGATTTTCTCTCATTGATGTTTCTCTCTATCCCTCTCTCTTCCTTTCTATAAAAAATAAATAAATTTTTTAAAAAAGGACCTTATGGTGAAGGGGAAAAAACAAAACAACACATCAAAGAGCCTTAATTTGGTCTCTAAAGACCAACTGAAAAAATGTTTTCTCCCTAAAGACAGCTAAAAAGTGGTTTCATTTGTTGTGAATTTGTTTAAAAATATTATTTGTCTAGAAATTACCAAACAGCACCACTCTTGTATTTAAAGTTTGGCTTAAAGGAGCCAGGTCTTACAAAGCATTCCTATTGCCTGCATTTAACATTATGATCTAATTTTTACTAAGAACCAAGAGCATTTGAAACATTTATGGAGGCTCTGTTGTTCTTGTAAAGGATTTACTCCCCCAGTGGAGAACCTTGACATGGGCGTTAAATTACAAACAGGGTCCTCCCAACGAGGATGGACTGAAATTTTTTCAGAAGGTGGTTAGTCCTAATCCCTTGTTTTACATAGCTTGTTACATTTACAAAACACTTCACATTTTTATAATTAACTTCGTCATACCCCCCCACACACACAAAATACTTGAAACCCAAACACTTAAAGTTATCAGTGCTTGAATATGTAAATAAAGCACAAATCAAGGACCCAGAGAAACACTGAAAAATGAAAACCTTGGCTAGACAAGCCTGTTGATTATTATCCTGCAACCTCCAGTGGCTGCTGGAGAAACATTGCTGGGGTTCCTCTGAGTTGGGGAGGGGGGGAATGAGGACAGAGGTTGACCTTTATTTTCCACTTCACCTTAGACCTGGTGACCTGACTCCCACATCAGGTCACCAGGGGCTAATTCTTCAAGGCAACCTGTAGTGGAAAAACATGTGCTAGCCTGGGTATGTATGTTGTAGACCCTTTCCTCACGTACCTACCTCCTGCACGAGTCATCAGCAGTCTAGCTGCTCCCCTTTAATGGGATTTCACACTAAATATCCTCTTTCCCCTGATGCTCCATGAACTTGTTTTGAGTGGCCTTATCTACAATCACCTACTCCTCTGAGAGCAATTGCTTTGTAGGCTGACTACACAATGGGAATCATTCATAGAGGTGGCTGTGCTTTTCGTAAAAGTGTGCTTTTGAGCAGGAGTCTAAAAAGGGAAGGAAAAACGAAGCACCTCAGCACACCGTATTTGTGGGGTTCACCCTTGGAGATGTTTTCCCTACTTGTGACCGATTCACACAGAGCCACCACCCATGCTGCTCCCCAGGGCACTGGCAAGATACCCGCCGCGCAGCCAGCTGGCAGCAGGGTGCACTCCGTGGCACGGTCACCTGGAGAAGACAGAGCTCAGGAACCCCGGCCACAGCTCTGACTTGGGGACCTTGGCAAGCTATCCATGCACAAGCCTCAGAAAAGGCAGGGTGGCCAGCAACCCGGGGGGGAAACCACCAAAAACCTACAGCTCCTCACACTGCACGACCTGGAGTTCCCTTAATTCCAGCTTTCTAAACTTTTGAATGTCTTTCTTTTTTTTCTTTTTTTTAAGGCGGGTGGGGAAGGGGGGGGGGGAAGGTCACCGATCTTTCGAGAATCGTCTCAAGAAAGCTGTAAGTATCTCACCCACAAAGAGCACCTACAAGTTCACCTACTTTTACAGGGTTCAGAGACCCCCTGAGAGCAGCCCATGCATTCCCCAGAGCCTCCCAAACCCCTCTCCTCCCCGCACCCCGCGTTAAGAATAGCTGAGCTCACTGGAAATCACCTGAGCTCTGACACCTTGAGCCCTTACAGTATTTTTCTTAAATAAGGCTTCTGTCCTCACCGACAGGGTTACGGGTCTAATCTGGTGTTGACAGGGTCTATTTTAAATGACTCCCTCTGCCCTTCTTGCCTTTTGCCTTGCTGTTTTAGTCCCACCTCCCTCCCTCCCTCCCCCCCTTTCCCCCCACAGCAAAGCAAGCTTTCAACAGTTTGTTGCCTCGTCTCTCTTTGGGCTCAGCCGGCAAAGTCAAAAAAATCTTTCCGTGCCCAGTAGATACAAGCTATACAGTAGGCAGCGGCCCAAGGTTCCAGCGGCGTCCGCGCCCGCTGGGACACATAAAACTGCACCCGCCCGGCCGAGGGCACCCAGCCCGGCTCGCCAACTTGGACAGCGAGGAGGCGCAGCCGCCGGAGCCGCGGTTCCTCCCGGGCGGGCGGGCGCGCTCCCCGGGAAACTCTGCCCTCTGGATCCTCCTTCTCACTTTCCCCTCCGCTCACTCACACCCGGCGGGCGGGCGCGCCCGGAGGCACGGGGCCACTAGCCTCGTGGAAGGGATGGATCCCTGTCACTGCCTCCCCCTCCGCCCCCCAAGCCCCGCGGCGCAGGGGGCGTGCGATCGGGCGCTGACTTCCCGGGAGTCCTGCCCGCGTGGGCGGCCGCGGCCCCGGCGGCGGGCGCGCCTGTCATTCCGGGCGAGAGTTCGGGACTCCCGCCGGGCTCTCCAAGTTCCCGAGCGAGTCCGCCCCGGAGCGGACACTCCTGGGGGGAGTGAGCAGGGTCCCCGGGGCGGTTGGCGGGGGGTAAGGAGGAGGGAAGGAAGGATCCCGGACTCCCGGGGAAGGCTGGCCCCCCGCCGCGGCGCCGGGGAGGGGTCCCGGGGTCGGTCCGCGCGCCCCGCCCGGGCGCACCTACCAGATGAAGTCGGTGCAGTGGCTGCAGAAGGTGGGCTGCTTGAAGAAGCGGGCGATGAATTTGTGGTCCTTCACCTCGTGCACGTTCTTCTGCCTCAGCGCCCCTTTGCGGGCGAAGCGGTTGGCCACGTCCAGAGGCGTCGTGGAGTCGTTGGCCGAGAAAACGTCAGCCATGGTCCCCCCCAACCACCTCTTGCCGCCGCCGCCGGGGAGCTGCAGCCCGGGAGGGCCGGGTGGGCGGGCGGGGGCGGAGCGGCGGGGCGCGGGCGACCCCGGCGAGGGGCGAGGGGCGCGGCGGCGGCGGTCCCCGTGAGGAGGCGCGGCGGCGGCGGCCGGGGAGAGTCGGGCGGAGCGGCGCGGCGCGGAGCGGAGCGGAGCCGCTCACTCGCTGGCTGGCCCCACGCTCACTGACAGCCGGGCGCCCGGCTCTCGCGCTTCCTACTCTCGGCGGCGGCAGAGGCGGCCCGGAGCGGCGCCGCCCACCGCGCATGCCCGGACGCCAAAGCAGCGCGCGCGGGGCGGGGGCGCGCGCGGGGCGGGGGCGCGCGCGGGGCGGGGGCGCGCGCGGGGCGGGGGCGCGCGCGGGGCGGGGGCGCGCGCGGGGCGGGGGCGCGCGCGGGGCGGGGGCATTTGGAGCCCAGAAACCTGAGGCCGCAGCGGTGGCCCGCGGAGAGCCTGCCCTGAATGGGGCGCGTAGGCGGACACTGGGCGGGGCGCACCCGTTCTCCTCCGCCGCCGCCTTTTTTTTTTCCTCCCTTTTCCTCCCCTGCCTCCGCCCGCCTCGCCTCCCTCCTCTGCTTCCGCTTCTCTCTCTCTCTCTCTCTCTCTCTCTCTCTCTCTCTCTCTCTCTCTCTCTCTCTCTCTCTCTCTCTCTGTCTGCTCCTGTCCCCCTCCTCCCATCCCCACTGGCTTCCTCCAGCTCCTCTCTTTCCTCTTTTCTCCCCTCCGGGTCGGAGGCCTGCGCTGCCCGTGCGAGGCCCAGAGGAGCCCTGGATCCCACGATGGGCCGCCAGCGCCGCCCGCCTGGTCGGATCTGCTCCCACCCTGGCCCCGCTGCCTGCGCTCTGCAGCCGCCCCTTCTATCAGCACGTATCGATTTGAAGTTTCGCCTGGCTAAAACCACTCCAATTCTGTGTGCCTAAATGCCTTACCCCCACACCTTCACGCTGTTTATATATGGATGGCAGGGGAAAGGGAGCGATTCTGAACTTCACCCGTGTGGGATATAAAACTGAAACTCATAGACACGTCTGCATGGTGGTTACCAGAGGAAGGGAGGTGAGGGGTGGTAAAGAGGATTATTTGACTTTTGGGTGGCATGCACACAATGCATTAAGCAGATCATGTATCATGGAATGGTGTACTTGAAACCTATATAATCGTATTAACCAAAGTCACCCCAATATATTTAATAAAAACAAAATCATTGAATATTGACCTTTCACTCGTCTCCAGTCATGGTCCTGTGTTTCATGGGCACCCGGTATCGCCCTCTGATTTGCAAGTGAGTTAGCTAAAAGGACTTGTTCTGCTCCATCCCCTTACTGGATGCCTACCACCGTTACAGCGTTGCTCATCAGGCTTTCTTGATTTTACAAGTCCAGAACTTTAATTTGGAAATTGTTTGCATACTAAGCTAATTACTTTGGTAATGGCAGGTGTGGAGTGCAGCCAGTGCATTCTCAAATTACCAAGTAAAAGTGCTTGTGAGAGGATAGCTGGCATGCATATGCAAAAGGCGCACTGGGGATGTACCAACTAATCACTTGCTGAATGTTTATTCGTTCTGCCTGGAGGATGCTGAGATACACGAGGGGGGACACCCATCTCCCAGCATTTCGTTAGTGTTCAATTTCATGGTCAGGTTCACTAGGTTCACAAATCAACTTCATGAACTGAGGACATCAAGGAAGTGAACAATGCCATCTCACACCTGTCAGAACAGCAGTCATAATAAAAAAAAAATCAACAAGTAAGTGTTGGCCAAGAATGTAGAGCAGTGTTTCCCAAAGTGTGGTACGCGTATCCCCAGGGGTACAGGAAGAGTTTGGTGGGGGTACACGTTGCACCAGCGTTTGGTGGGAATATGCACTGCACCGTGCTTAGCTGCGCCTAATTCTACATTCTCATGAGTACGAGGGGTACTCAGTGTTATGAAAACTATAGAAGGGGTACACATATGTCAGAAGTTTGGGGAACACTGATGTAGAGAAAAGGGACCCTCGTGCACTGTTGGTGGGACAGAAAGTTGGTGCAGCCATGATAGAAATCTGCATGGAGGTTCCTCAAAAAATTTAAAGTAGAGCTCTATCTATCCCATGTGGCTCAGTGGGTTGAGCATCGTGGGTGCACCAAGAGAGGTTGCTGGTTAGATTCCTGGTCAGGGCATGTGCCCAGGGTACTGCTAGATCCCCAGTAGGGGGCGTGCAGGAGGCAGCCAGAAGATGTTTCTCACATCCATGTTTCTCAGTCATTCTCTCCCCTCCTTTCTCTCTAAAATCAATAAAAACATATTTTAAAAAATTAAAAAGCAGAGCTGCCGTAGACGTAGCAATTATACTTCTGGGAATTTATTCAAAGAAAACAAGAACACTAATTCAAAAAGACATATGCACTCTTATGTTCATTGCAGCATTATTTACAATTGCCAGGGCCAGGAGATGGAAGCAACCGGAGTTCATCAATAAATGAATGGATAAAGAAGATGTGACTTTGGGTGGTGGGCACACAGTGCAATATACAGATCATGTATCGTAGAATTGTACACATGAAACATATAATCTTATAGGAAGACTAGAGGCCGGGTGCATGAATTCATGCACCAATGAGATCCCTCAGCCTGACCTGCGGGATCGGGCCAAACTCGGCTCTCCGACATCCCCTGAGGGGTCCCAGATTGTGAGAGGGTGCAGGCCAGGCCAAGGGACCCCACTGATGCACAATCAGGGCCAGGGAGGGACTGCAGGAAGGCTCCAGGGTGTGTCTGGCCTAACTCACTCAGTAGCAAGCTAACCTATAAGTTGGAGCAACTACCCCTTGATGGTCAGAGCAAGTTAGAGCAAGCAGTCGAGTGTCCATAGCATATCATTAGCATATTACGCTGTGATTGGTTGAATGGCCAACTGGACAAAGCATAATAGCTTTTATTATATAGGATGTGAGTATATATGTACTAGTACACTCAACAGAATATTACTCAGCAATAAAAAAGAATAAAATTTTAGGCATTTGTGACCATATGGATGGACTTGGAGGGTATTATGCTAAGTGAAAAAAGTCAGACAGAGAAAGACAAATACTGTATGATTTCACTTATATATGGGATCTTTTTAAAAAAAAAAAAAAATGAGTAAACAAACCAGAAACAGACCCTTAGAAACAGAGAACAAGCTGATGGTTACCAAAGGGGAGGAGGGTGGAAGATGGGTGAAAAATAAAGTGAAATGACATTAACATCCATAACATCCAAGAGAAAGGGGGAAAAAAAAAATGTTGTTTAACACTTCAAGAAGTAAAATAAATAAATAAATAAATAAATAAATAAATAAATAAAAATTCTAAGTATATACTATCTTAGAGCATTTCACATAGACTGTCAGGTTACCATTTTTAAAAATTGCTTAATTGAATGCTAGATGATAGGAATATCTTTTATATTTTCACATGTGCAAGATATGGACTGGCCTTTCATGGGGCGCACACACACTATTGGCCCAGGTCCAATCCCTTTAGCCAATTTTTTTGGTGCTTAAAGAGATGGTATCTTCTTGATATTCTATTAGAAATAGAAATTTCACCATACATAGTGGCCTCTCTGGTCCAAGGATTTTTTTAAAAATTAAAAAAGGATAGGAAAGTAGATCAAATTCTCCACCTTAGGTAACTCAAGCCATGAATGTTAATCTATGTATATAAAAGCCTAAGTGACCATTACAACTGGTCAACTGGTCACTATGATGACATACTGACCACCAGAGGGCAGATGCTCAATGTAGGAACTTCCCCCTGGTGGTCAGTGTGCTCCCACAGCCAACCTCCCGTATTGCCCCAATCAGCCCTCATTGCTGGCCAGGCTGAGGGATCCTACCCATGCACGAATTTGTGCACTGGGCCTCTAGTTGCTTAATCATCATAAATCAAAGGGAGCATAGTAGAATGGAACAAATGATTCTTTCCTCACAGCCATTTTTATGAGACAGAAGTCCTCACACATTTTATGAAGACAAGCGTCTTTCTATTTATCTGAAGCCTTGATGTGATAGTGGAGGAAAGACAGCGGGGAGTTGGAAGCTGGGATTGCTGATCGTGGAATTCCTGCACAGAGTAATAGGGACGATGAGCTAAGAACCAATGGGCCTTGGCAGCAGCCTGCACATCTGTGTTCGGAGTGACTGATTGCAGCAGTGGGTAGACCAGATGGAGAAATATATTGCTTTTCTTTCAGGTTGTGGCTTTGCTTTCTTGCCTCATTTATTACTGTTGTTCCTTGTGGAGAGAACTAACTGGAAGTTTGTTGATTGATAGCTGGGCTGAGCTTGAGTGCTCAATTGCCTATAGCTCCGCTCAACTGTAAGGGTGGGTGGTAGGGTGTGCCTGGAGCAGGGAATGACCAAGCAGTGTGACACTGCCCTGGCAAGGACTGATGGGAATGTGAACCGGAGTTGGCCCTAGGCCACCCACCTGAGAAACCACCTTGGGTAGCCCTCAACTGGAGGGGATTACAGAAAGAACCCCTGGGGAGGGGGTGGGAGTCAGTCTGGGCATTCCTGATGATTTTATTTTATTATTTTTTTTGTTAATCCTCACCCGAGTATATTTCTCTATTGATTTTTAGGGAGAGTAGAAGAGAGGAAAAGAGAGAGAGAAACATTGATGTGAGAGAAACATATCAATTGGTTACCTCTTGCAGGACCCCTGGCCGAGGAGGAGCCTGCAACTGAGGTATGTGCCCTTAACTGGAATCGAACCCGGGACCCTTTGGTCCACAGGCCAGCACTGTATCCACTGAGCCAAACTGGCTAGGGCCCCAATTATTTTACATCTGCTGTTTCATGGGGACCCTGCAGGAGAGAAAAGGGAATGGTAGGGAATGGTAGACAGAACACAGTTTATAGGATCCCTCCTCTGTGACTCCTGTCTTTAGAGGAGTGAGCTTGAGACTCTCAAGAGGTGTT